TTTTTTGTTATTAATAAATTTAAAATTATTTTAAAAAATAGATAATATTATTCTAACGTTGGCTTGCCTAGCAAGTGAAATGTTAGGCGCCATCACGGTCCGAAGGTGGAAATTTCGGGTCATGACATCAAGGAACTTAAAAAAGAACACCCTTACAATCCAAGGGGATTGGAGTAGGGTTCATATTGAATCTGAACCAGTATAAAATATTTGGTGTCATTTATTTTATGCAATTTACTTTCTGTATTTACTTTATATCTACTTAGTTAAAGAAAAGAACGGATAACAATTCACCCCTCTCTTATACTTTTACAAATGATGATTTAGATAATATTGAGTCATCTGATAATCTTGAAATATCATCACTTACACCTAGTACTGCTAGTCAAACTAATAGAGGTGGTCATGGTGGGTATGCATGCTCTCCATGTTAAGAGGAATCAAAGATTGAAAAGTAAGTGATGGAATTTTTTTAGTGGACTGGAAGATCAAAAGGATTGTGTAAAATGATATTTGTAATGAAGTTTATAATCATGAGAACAGGAGTAAGCAAGGGGGTACTGGTCAACTTCGTGAACACATGATGGATCACCACCCTATTGCATGCAGTGCTATGAGCAATCTAACCAACAAAAACTTAATCCAAATACTAGTAGTTTATTTGGTAAATATGATTCAATGAAAGACCTGAAAGAATTAGCTAAAATAATTGTCCTAGCTTGTTTGTCTTTTAGATTTGCTTCTTCACCATATTTTATTACTTACATTCAAAGAATTTATAATTCTTTATTTAAAGATGTTCCTAGAATTACTTGATATCTTTAGGCTTTATGGATAATATCATACATATATCCATTATTTATTTGCTAGTCTTCCTTGCAGAGTTTCTCTCGTGCTGTTAATAGAAATAATTATTTAACAGGTACATATCATTGGATAGATAATAATTTTATAATGCAAAAACGTATTATCGCTTTGGAATATGATAAAAATAAAGTCATACTGTCGTATTTATTTCTGCTACTATTGATGAAGTTGTTAAATTTTACAATCTTAATGAAAGATTTTTGTGCATGTCTTTAGATAATGATTCTAATAACAATGCTGATATTTCACTATTAAAAATGCACCTACACCCACACTTGATGTAATCTTTCATGTTAGTTCTACATGTTACGTTTATAATTTAATTGATAAAAGTGATATTGATTTATTTAAAGATGAGATTACTTTAATTAGAAGAGTTGTTGGTGCTATTCAAGGAAAACATAGGAACTAGATTAAAGGAATTTAAGGACAAATATTTGCATTATAACCTAAAACCAAAATTTATACCTGAAAAAATAGTTACTAGGTGGCATTATACTTATACATTCTTAAATATTACTTTAAATATGGATTTCCTATAACTGAAGTTGCTAACAGGCATTGTACCGATCCTAACCGTTTGTTAACTTTTTAATACTTGGAACGCCATTGAAGATATAGTAAATAATTTACAAAAATTATATGTCACTACACTTGAGTTTAGAGATGTCAATGGATATTTAAAAACTGACTAAAACCAAATGAACCATACCGTACTGTACCGATTTTTAGTTTTTTTTTAAATAAAATCGTAGATTTTGATATAAATCTATAATCGTACCGATAATTAGGGTAGGTTTTAAATTTTATAAAAATAAATCGAAAAAATACCGAACCGTACCGAATAAATTTACAAGTGGATAATATATTTATATATTAAGTTTAAAAATAATAAACCATTAAGTTTTTTCTTGGGTCTTGGAATTATGAAATCGGATATAATTCAACAAGTAATTAAAACTCAAAATCCTAATTCTCAAAACTATTATGCTACTCCTATTGAAACCAAATTATTTTCAACATATTCACTAGCAAGACACAAGATATTTTAGTGATTATGAGCTGCAAACTACAAAATATCGAATATGTTTTCTTTCATATGATTTACATTTATCTTTTTGAATATTTAATCTTTTATAGACTTTATTCTTGAGTCCTAGCTTGGTTAATATTTTTTCACTCGTGTTATTTATAATTTTTTTTGTCTTTGCTTAGTTTCTTTTATACTGTTGTAGAATAGTTGATGGATCTATACTCTGGCCATATTTCATGTTTTCTTAATGTATCACCCTTGTTTTCTTAATTTATCACCCTTTAAACAGTAAAAATATCTAGAGAGTTTTGCTAATTCTTATAGAAGTACGTATGTTATTGCATTCTACTTCTACTAATAGCTTTTACATGATATTTGGTAAAAATATCGAAAATTAACCGAACCATACCGATACCGAAGAGAAACCGACATGATTGGTAAGGTTTCGAAAAGTCTAATTTAGTTATACATAATAAGATAATCAAAAATTGGCATGGTACAAATTCTATAAAATAATCGGCCGAACTGAATCGAACTATTGACACCCTACTTGAGTTTTTTGGGAGCTTATTATCCTAATATTATAAATAATTTAGTACATATAGCTATGCTGTTGAATTAATGCAAGTAAAATTCAAGAAATATTTCTATCATCATAAACATATTTACCTATTTTAAATTCTTTTATCAAGATGGCTACTTGTCGCCAATTTATTAATGCTTTGTATACCTATAAAGATATAGGACCAATTAAAACCCCTGATATTCACACTTGTATTTCTGACCTAAATGCAAATTTATAAGTTTTATATAATTATTATGCTAACATAGTTGACGCTTCTTCTGCTGTAGATGTTAAAGAAAATATTCCTTCAAGTTCGACTTCTACATCTGCATCCGCTGCTATGGAGGATGATGACGGTCCTGAAGGTTATACTATTTGGTCCACACTAAGCGAACATCAACCTAGTAGCAGGAGCATTGATGAACTATAGTTCTACTTGCAAAAGGTAATGGCACCCCGCACAAAGAAGCAACTCAATACAATTTTATGCTCTTTCGGTAATGGCTCGAAACATGCTAAACGTGCCAATTTTAACAGTTGCTTCAAAGAGCGCATTTAGCCAAGCAAGGCAGCAGCTAGGAGATACCTGTCACTCATTGGATAACAATATTTTGGAAGTTTTAGTGTATTTCAGAGATTGGATTAGATCATAGCGACGAAATCAAGGACGTGAAGAAGTAGATGCACCGGAGAACGAGGAAATTGGAGATATAATACTAAATGCTTCCGATTTAAGCACTCCAGAGGCCCAGACGCTCATGTTGATATGGAAGAACTTAACAAAAATGACACAATACATGTGAATGCACTCTTTTCTTATTTTTAATAGTTGTTGAAAAATTTTAATTTGCAAGTTTAAAAATAAAAAAATCGAAATAGAATTTACAAATTTAATTTGAAGTACTAGTCAATGAAAGCTTTTGAAGTTTTGTCCTTACATATTGATCTTATTAGAACTTAATTTAATTTAAAATTTAAAATTTAAGACTTTAAATTTATGTCTTAAAATCACTTATTTATAACATAGAGGTTTGTAAATACTCAAGTATCAATTACATTGAAATAAATATATAAAACAAAATTAAAAAGAATAAAAACCAATTCCCCTGGCTCGGTTCTAACCGGATAAGCCTGAACCCCAACGAGCCCAATAGAACTCGGAAATACCCAGCCCACTACCAACCTGCTTACCCCAGCCCATTAACTAACCCGTTACAGTAACCAAACGGGCTAGGTTTTTCCACCATCAGTCTGGTCCAGCCAGTTCTGTAACCACCTTTACCACGAATGCAACAATGATATAGTCAATATATATCATATTTATGCTCGCTCTGTTCAAATTTAAAAAAGGAGGAAAAGCATATGATTAGTGACAAGAAATTAGTAACAAGAAGTTCAAATTAAAACTTGTATCGGCAAGAGAGAAGAGTACCGTAGAAAAGGTGGGTTTAAAATAGGGAAAACTACGCGATACGTCAAATATATACACTATATTTACTATTCGTAGCTATACTATCAGCAAATTTTAGCATTTGTAGCTAAATTTGAATTTTATAGCAAATCATGAAACAAAAGATTAATTGTTTTGAACTGAAACAAGAGAGCAACAAGTTCTTGTAGCTTCGTTGGTTAGAGTGTCCGCTTAGTTAGCGGAGGTCTTGATCAGTTTGACTCTCAACAAGAGCATTTTATTTTTCTGTATTTCGCCTTGGTCGTATTCGTTACGCGAACGAATACAGTCGATACAGGATGAGCGAACGAATACTGTGTCTTTCGCCTAAGTTGTATTCGTTGCGCGAACGAATACAATTGATACAGGTTGAGCGAACGAATACAATTGACACAGAGTATAGTGCTTTATAAAAATTTCTCTTTAAAATAGTACTAAAATTTAAGAGCAAAATGAGACAGAGAAACAATGTAACAACCAACCGCATCAAAGTGGTTGATTATTACGTAAATGGAACTAACATAACATTTAAAGTAACAATACCATTAAAAAAAACACAATCTCTAAACAGCCTATTTGTTAGCCTACAATTTTCCATCTTCGTGTAGTTTCTAGATACATTGTGCAAAAATAGAGTTTGGATCTTGTTGAGCCTTACAAAGACATTATTCATGGTAATTCGGTCTTGGGGCAAGTCGACCGTACATTCAAATTCAAGAGATAATTCCAGTACTGATCTCAAACAAGTTTCTATAGCTGTCAAATGTTGATCATCTCTTGAAAATAAATTAGCATCCACAATTTCCATGACCCTATGAGGATATGATTCAGCTATCAATCTCTTCAAGTTAAGCTCTCCCACAAATTGATCATCCACTGGCTTCTTTCTTGTGAAGGTCTCCAACATCCCCCATTGTTGACACTATCCCTTCCAACCCATAATCTGAACATTTTGCTAGTTAGTCATCAAATTTAAATTCTGAATCTGTATTTAATATAAATAAAGTTACGAACATAAATATAGAGTACTGAGTCAAAGAAATTAGTAAGTAGAGAATTCACTGGTGCCATGTAGCCAATGGTGCCTAAGATTCTGGATCAGGCGCCGTCAAGAGTTTGGATATACCGAAGTCACTTACTCTGGCTACCATGTCTCCATCCAAAAGTATGTTACTTGGTTTTAAGTCGCAATGGACCACAACAAGAGAATGACCTTGGTGTAAATACTCTAAGGCAGAAGCCACATCAACCATAATTTTCAGTCTTTGGACTAAATCCAAGAAATTATTGTGAGAGTAAAGCAAATAATCAAGATCTCCATTAGGCATGTACTCTAGCACTAAAGCCTTAAAATCAAGATTCGCACAACTACTTATCACCTTAACAAGATTTCTATGGCGAATGTTACGCAAAACCTTACACTCCGAATCGAACCTCTTAAATGCATCTTCTACTTGTGCATTGAAAACCTTTACAGCAACTACAACCCCATTAGCAAATGACCCCTTATACACCATACCAAGGCTTCCCTTTCCAATCAAATTCGACTCTTCAAAGTTGTTAGTCCCTCGAGCAATTTCATAGTAAGAAAACCTCTTGTGTGATTGACCATACAAATCAGTTAAAGGAATAACTTGATCATTTCGTTTTCGATATTTCTGTTTAACCAAAGAAGTAACTTGATTTCTACTTGATTCACGATCAGTGGAGAAAGAAAATTCTGCAGGAATAATTTCGTCAACAGTTGGTTCTCGAATAGGTTCACTCGAATCCCTATTTCTGGCAGAAGATCTGTGAGTTGAAGAAGCCCTAGTTCTAGAAGAAGAAGGGTTAGCAACGTTGGTTTGAGAAGTAGAACCACGAATAGATATAGATCCTAAACTACGTAATCTATCACCTCTTCTACTCCTAACAGGAGCAGTTGAAGAGGGAAGTTCATCTATAATTGCTACTCTGCGAGGATCGGGGTTTGATGAAGATATGGTTATACAAGAAAATTATGCGCGCTGAAGAACAAGAGCGATTAAAGAAGAAGAAAACTGTAGATTGAAGGTTTTGTGAAACTAAAAGTGACTGACGCAGCCGCAAGAAAGCTTTAAAAACCGTTGAAGAGTCGCAAACCCAATTGACGAAGGCCACGTAGCACGTACATTAAATGGAAGTGACATGTGAAGCGATGGTTCTAAAGAAGACGCAATGATACATGGGAAACGGCAGCAAAAACTTCCTGCCATAAATACGTGCCACTTCCCAAATATTCAATTGCAGAATATTCGGCAAGTGGGAAGACTATCTGTATTGGTAGAAAATAGATGTTACATGTGGAATTATATGAGAATGACAGGGTAAGATATGTGGATTACTAAGAAGATGATAACTAGAGTGTCGCATTAAAAGATTCACAATTTACAACAGGTATGAACAAATCACTCACGAGACGAAAGGGTACAGTTGCTCGAGCCTAAATTACTCAGTGAAGAGACACATGCAGGATGAATCAAGACAGTAAAGAGGAAAGATTCATAAACCTCTAATTAATGTGGAAGAAGAATCAGAACTGTTACAGAATCTTCATGAATAGTTACGGTTGCAAATTATAACGTTTCATTAATGTCATTAATGCTCATAATGATTGTGTCATAAAAAGGGAAGAAACGTTATATTTGTAAATTCCTATATAAGGGAAGAGAATTTCACTTGTAAGGATACGTTCTGATGAACATTGGAATATAATTAGATTACTTTGTCATTTCTAATTCTTATTTTCTTTATTATTTTTGAGAGAATATTGAATTTCTTGACTATCAGTAACCCGAGTACTTCTAAAAATAGGCTTTGACTGAGAATCTAATTCTTTGGTTAAATAAATTGGTTCCGTTACCGGGAATCTGATAATCTTCTCTTACTTTCTAAATCACTCTCTCTCAACTGATTCTTGTCGAATGTCAATGACAATAACCAGCAGGTGGAAGGAAACCCGGTTCCGTCACCTCAAGGAAGCCCACGCAATTCAAGAGAAGTATCACCAGAAAGATCCACTACTCATAACAATGAACAACATGGAAATGAACAAACTGTCGAGCAGGATGCTGTGAAGAAGTTAATTGCTGAGTACGTGAATGATGCTCTTCAGGCTTTCGTAAGGGGATTACCAACTGTACCACCCATACCTCCACCAAACAATACTGCAACTGTGAAAATTCCACGACCAGGGTTGGCTAATTCTAGAAGCGGAGGAACTCTCAACGCGTCACGTGATGGGAGACAAGGTACGCCTAATAATTCTGATTTACAAACTTTAATACTAACCTTGCAGAAAAAAGTGAAAGAACAAAATGACCGTATTGAGCAAATACCCGGCGTACCACCTGTGATCAAAGGAGTTGATTTTGACAAATATTCACAATAACCATGGAAACCAAGCGCAACTCCATTACCAATTCCCAAAAAGTTCAAAATGCCTGACATCCCGAAATACGATGGAACGACCGATCCACGTGACCACATTACTGCATTTACCACGAGTAAAAGGCAATGATTTAACCAAGCAGAAGATTGAATATGTGTTGGTCAAAAAGTTTGTGGAAACACTTACTAAAGGAGCGTTAACATGGTACTCTCTTTTACCTGAAAATTCTATTAATTCTTTTGTTGAGCTTGCAAATCTATTTATAAAAGCACACTCGGGTGCACAAAAAGTTGAAAAGAGAATGGAGGATATATTCAAAGTATAGCAAGGAGATACAGAATTGCTTCGAGAATTCGTAGACATATTCCAATGTGAAAGAATGTTGCTTCCTAGAGTACCTAACAATTGGGCAGCCATGGCATTTGCAAGAAATTTAAACGAGAAAAGTTCAGAAGCTACGAGGAGGCTTAAAGAGAGCCTACGAAAATTCCCTGCCACGACATGGAATAATGTTTATAATAGGTACAATTCCTAAGTTACGGATCGAAGAAGATATCGTAGCTCAGTCAAGGGTTGAAGAAAAAACAGGTTCGAGGCGGTCAGAATCTAAGAAGAGGTTCGGTAAGAGTAGGTACGAGCCTTATATGGGACCTTCGGGGCGAGAAGCTCGTTCCAAATTCAAAGACGTGCGGGCAGATCACATGTTCACAAATAGAGATTCAGGTTCGTCATCGTCGAGATTCAAAAAAATCAAGGTGAACGTAATAGAGATGCTAATGCAAACGCAAGGATTGGGGACTACAATTTTAACGTGAGTACCTCCGAGTTGGTAGATATTTTAAGAAGCATGGGAGATAAGGTACGATAGCCTAAAGAGATGAGATCAAACCCAAATAGAAGAAACCCAGACTTTTGGTGCGAGTTCCATAATGATCAGCGCCATAGAACATCAGACTGCAGATTATTACAAGGTGAGGTGGAACATTTATTAAAGCAGGGCTATCTGACGGAATTGTTCAGCGAGAAAGGCAAACAAGCTTACATGAAAAATAGGCAAGAGCCCCCAAAACCTCTGTCTCCAAAGAGAACAGTAAATGTGATAAAAACAGTAAAGTCAACGGCGTAACCTATACAGTCGTGAGAAAAACAACAAAGTTCACAATAACTTACGGGAAGCGAACTCGCCAAACTCTAGAAGACGGCAACATAACCTTTGATGACGCAGATGCCGATGGGTTAATGATTCCTCACAACGATGCACTGGTAATATCTTTACTTATACATGATATTAATGTAAAACTAGTTTTTATTGACCTAGGTAGCTCTATGAATATCATTTTATTACGAGTGGTGAACGAAATACTGAGGGCGATCGTGTAGTTCCAAAAGCATGTTCCTTATCTGGGTTTGATAACTCAACCGTTATTACAAAGGGAGAGATTGAACTAAGCACATACGCAGAGGGGGTCATCAAAGAAACAAAATTTCAAGTGATAGACACAGATATGGCCTATAATGTGATTCTTGGGAGGCCGTGGATTCATGATATGGATGTTGTGACATCCACATTACATCAGGTTATCAAATTTCCTTCAAAATGGAGAATTCAACAGATTCAAGGAGATCAACAAACTCCAAGAAGCATCAATTTGGTGATACATCAAAGTCAAAAATATACGAGTGCAAATCAAAAAAGATGCGGGTGCAAGTGAGAAAGATGCGGTAAATCAAATTTCAACAGAAATTGTATCAAAACAAACAGACGTGGATTCCAGACCAGATGTAATTCAAGAGCTAGAGGAGAACGAAAACATTAAAACAACAATTTGAGGAGCTTGAAGTTGTTCCACTATTCGAACAATGGCCAGATCGATGAATTCATATCGGAGCAAGGTTAAACCCAGATAGGAGAGGTAAGTTAATTGAATATTTAAAAGCTAACGCGGATTGTTTTGCATGGTCCCATTAAGATATGACAGGTATACCTCCGAAGGTGATGATTCATAAATTAAATGAAGATCCATCATTCATACATGTCAAACAAAAGAAGAGGAAGCAAGGATTATTCAAAAATCAAGTGATCGATGAAGAGGTAAAGAAACTCTTAAAGATCGATTCAATACGCGAGGTAAAATATCCTAATTAGCTAGCTAATACTGTGGTTGTTCTGAAAAAGAATAGTAAATGGAGAGTTTGTGTGGATTACACTGACTTAAATAAAGCATGCCCGAAGAATTCATTCTCTTTACCGCATATAGATCAATTGATTGATGCTACCACTGGCCACAAATTATTAAGCTTTCTAGATGCGTATTCTGGTTATAATCAAATAAAAATGGACCCCTTAGACGAAGAAAAAACTTCATTTATTACAAACAGGGGGACTTATTGTTACAAAGTCATGCCTTTTGGCTTGAAAAATGTTGGAGCCGCGTATCAAAGGTTGGTGACCAAGATGTTCCAAGAACGGAAGACGATGGAAGTGTACATTGATGACATGTTGGTCAAATATACATAAGCGGAAGGTCACTTTCAACATTTTTCAACTACCTTCAAGATCCTCCGCAGATATAATATGAAACTGAACCTAGAAAAGTGCACTTTTGGCGTAGCTTCAGGTAAGTTTCTAGGCTTTCTCGTATCTAATGGAGGAATTAAAGTAAATCCTGCACATATTAAAGCTATTGAAGAAATACCTGATATACTCACAAGCAAAAAATAAATACTAAGATTGACAGGTGGGATTGCAGCTCTGGAAAGATTCATTTCAAGATCTTCAGAGAAAAGCTTTAAATTCTTTTCAGTTTTGAAGAAGCAAAATCAGTTTGAATGGACTGAGGAATGCCGACAAGCCCTCAAAAATTTGAAGGCATACTTAACAAATCCTCCCCTATTGTCTAAACCAAGGGATGGAGAAAGACTATTTGTATATCTTGCAGTTGCAGAAGTAGCTGTAAGTGCAGTTTTAGTAAGAGAGGACAAAGGTAAACAATCTCCTATTTATTATGTTAGTAAATCTTTATTAGATGCTGAAACTAAATTTCCTCATCTAGATAAACTAGATTTAGCATTAGTCATGGCAACTAGGAAATTGAGACCATATTTTCAATGCCATCCTATCTCCGTAGTAACTGCATATCCATTAAGGAGTATTTTGCATAAACAAGAATTGTCAGGAAGACTAGCCAAATGGTCAATAGAACTAAGTGAATATGACATTATTTATCAACCTAGAACAACAATAAAATCTCAAGTTCTAGCAGATTTCGTCGCAGATTTTAATACAAAAATAATTCCTGAAGTAGAAAAGGAATTACAATTTTTTACTGGAGCTAATCCAGGTACGTGAACTTTATTTACTGATGGCTCTTCAAACGTCAAAGGAATCGGTTTAGGTATTGTCTTAATCCCACCCTCACGTGAAAGTATAAGACAAGCAATTAAATGTTATCCTATTACTAACAATGAAGCAGAGTATGAAGCTGTAATTGCAGGTTTGGAATTAGCACGAGAACTCTCCATAGAGCAAATCATGATTAAAAGTGACTCTCAACTGGTAGTCAATCAGATGCAGGGGACTTACACTGCTAGAGAACCACAAATGCAACAATACTTGGAAAAGGCACGAGAACTGGTCAGGCAATTACAATCATGGAAGATCGTGCAAATACCCAGGGAAGAAAATGCAGAAGTAGACGCGTTGGCTAACCTTGCTTCAGTTGAAAAAGTAACGAGTGAGGAAAATGCCATTGTAATCCATTTATTTTATTCAACACTTGACCGGGATAAACACGAGGTAAGCTTTAATAATTTAACCCGGGATTG